GTGGCTGGTCCATAAAGGTGAAAAAATAATGCAACTCAACAAACTTGTTAGCAAGCTTCTCGCATTCAATAAAAAACAATCCAAGGTTGATCCCCCGCAAGTCATCAGTTTTTTGGGTCGAGTTTTCAATTTTGGGGATATCCGTAACGTTCACATTCTGACCCCTATATACTACGTAGATTTTGCTTCCACCATGATCTTTCTCGTTGAGACTGCTTGCCTGTTGTCGCAGCTCCCGGCCTCGATCCCTCTCCTCACGTGTCATTGATTTCCGGATGAAGATGTGGTCAAAACCTGGAAGACTGCGAAGACAGGGAGCTTTCTCCAACGTTTCATGTTAAAAATAACGTGATGAAAAGACACATTTAATGAGACGGGTCGACTGCCACCAGGTTTGCTCAGTGTAAAAATTTCAGTGGGCCTCGCTTCTATATCTAATTTGTCTAAGACGGAAATTACAGAATTTTCCGTGTGGGCCTGGCGTTCAGATGCAATAGCATCATCAAGCTCAGGGATCTCAAATATGACGACGGAGCGACTCCGCTTCTCATTATCAAAAAGGCCCCTGGCGGCAGACTGTTTGACCAAAGTTAATAATCGATTCAGAAGCGGCAAGGCCTCTGGGCCTTGCCCTCTAAAATCGCATGCAAACTGCTGAGAAGCGATCCTTCTTCATCACTCCCCGAAGCAGCGGAAGGCACGGAAGCTGTTGATGTCTCATAAGGCTGAAACATTTTCTTTCCTTTTTTGGGCCGGGTGGTGCGGCGCTGCGAGACCATATCGAAGTCCAAGAAACACAGCCGCTCGGCACGAGTGCAGGCAGTCGAATGATGTATGAAGGGCCACAGCCAGTATGGAACTTATGGTGGATGCTTACAGAACAAGCCATGGCCTACGTGGACACTGAGTGGGAAGCCCTCAGGATCGCGCTGGAAGCAGCATTTGCGGCACGAGCCGGAGGCAGGTCAGTCTCAAAGCTTGATAGCCCTCATGGAAGCCAACGCATGCATGAGCCCTGGTGTGTACGGTGGCAGGCATAAGAGTTTTGAAGAATTTTTGAGAAGGTTCAAAAGGAGATACCAGGGGGTGATTAGGGATGACTAGCTGCTGATTGAAGTCATGGGAGATGACCACTCGAAGGAAGGGCAAAAAGCGTCTTTTTGGCGCTGCCAGAGGAAGTTAAGCATAGGGGTTTGAAAGCGTAACTGAAGCGTTGAGGGTACTTTTGACTAATGATTCAGCAGCAGGGAGGCTAAGAGCACTTGCAGAGCTAAGACAGTTGAGCCCAAAGTGTGGCTGAATTTTGAGTTGTACTCGAGAGGCTGGGCAGGCAAGCCAATCCTACCGCTACAGTAGGTGATAGGTCGTTCGAGTACACGCAGATCTTGATGGACAACTTGAGTGGATGGCCAGAACATACACAGTTACTTAGCGCGATTCACAAGGTAGAGCCGCAGGAGGCTCATAGCACGGTGAAGCAGCTAGCGCTAAGCATTCAGCAATCGAAAGCGATTTTTGGGACCCATGAGGCTGCAAACAACGATCTCAAGTGGAAGCAAAGATACCGATGCTGTGAGCAGGGGGGGGGGGGGAAGAACTCAACGAGGGAGAAAAGAAGCGGATAGTTACTGGGACGAGCAGGACAGAGTCGAACACTTTTGCAAGCACATAAGAAAAAGAAAGGAAAAGGGCAAACGTTTCCGATGAAAAACCTATACCGCTAGAAAAGCCCTATGCTGAAAGACTAGGTGGAAAAACAGGCATTGACCAAAGAAAATGCTTTAATTGTAGATGGTATGAACACATTGGAACAGACTGTCCGTACAGACGCACCCAAGTGAATCAGATCAAAAGGATTAAAGGACTCCAAAAGGGCGAAAAAAAGATAAGTTGATTGCTATGATGGGCAGGGAGACAATCTTGAGACCCAAGGACTATGAGGGGGATAAATGCTCATGGATAGGAAGAAATGCGCAATTCAAATAAGCCTGCTGAACCTTCAGGCTTCCACTACATTAGACACCGGGTATATGATAAGCATCATCCCTGTAGAGTTGTTGGCACGCGCGAAGGAAGCACGCGCTGCAACATAAACTCTTGGAGGTAATCCCAAAGAGAGAGATGGTTCCGGTAGACGACGCCTGGGCTAACAAGATAAATTTCTTTGGGCAGTCAAGACCAAGGTCGAGCAAGAGGTGTGGCACAAAACGGCCACGTACCCCCCCCCCCCCCCCCACAGTCCTGTTTCAATACGACCCACCCCCTCACAAACCCTCTTTCTCATTTGTTTTCTAGGTAGTGCGAAGTGAAAGTCGAAGTTGCTATTGAGTGCTCACTCGAAAAACGTACAGAGCAGTTTTTTACTCCATAATAACGAAAAATGTATAAAAAGCTGTAAAAAAGGCAGACTAAAGTTTTGATCAAGCAAAGCAACCGGGTGAGGGAACTTACATACACAATAAGGTTGCCGCCGCCTAGTTAGCGGAGTTCATGAGAGGTCATGAACTGGGAGCAACGCTAAATTGCACTCAATTTGCACCGAATATAAGCTGATTCGGCTCACGGTAACTCCGTCATCTTCCTGCAGCCTATGAAACCGAATTTTGTTGGAATTTGAATCCAAAGTTCAGTAGTAAAATCAGTCCAATTAGGACAAAAACTTGTATTTAGGGGTATTCCAACACGCTGATTCGGAATATGTTAATCGTTTTACTTGAAACCTAGGATTTTTTCTTTTGTAAATTGAAACTTGTTTTCAGAAACAAAGATTTCAAAAATTCTATGTAAGGGTCTTCTGACATGCTGTTTCCTAAAAAGCTAATGGTTTCGCTCAAAACTTTGGATATTTTCTCCTTCGAATTTTATTTATTTTCCACAAATTCTCTGTAAATCTAGCAAATTTCACAGTTAGGGTTTTTTGACATGCTCTTTCCAAAAGTTTCCATTGTATTTTCTCAAACATAGCAGATTATTTTCGTTTGTATTCCAGGTTTATCAAATTTGCAGTGAAATTCTCGAAAAAGAGTTTAAAATTCAAAATAGAAAAGGTTTGAGGTTTCAAGCAAATCCATTAGCTTTTTGGGAAACAGCATGTCAGAAAACCTTACATAGAATTTTTGAAATCTTTGTTTTTGAAAACAAGTTTCAATTCACAAAAGAAAAAATCCTAGGTTTCAAGTAAAACGATTAACATATTCGGAATCAGCGTGTTAGAATACCCTTAAATACAAGTTTTTGTCCTAACTGGACAGATTTTACTACTGAACTTTGAAATTCAACGTCAACGAAATTCGGTTTCATATGCTGCAGGATGATGACGGAGTTACCGTGAGCAAAATCAGTTCATCTTCGGTGCAAATTGAGTGCAAATTAGCGTTGGTTCCAGTTCATGACCTCTCATGAACTCGGTTAACTAGGCGGCGGCAACCTTATTGTGTATGTAAGTTCCGTTCCCCAAAGCAACCAGTTGCTTTGCTTGATCAAAACCAGTTGCGGTTCGGTACAAGGAAGAAAAGAGGAGATAAGAAGCAATTCAAAAACCATCGTAAAAACAATACAAAGCGCTCAAATTACCTTGTTTGCCGCCTCACTCGCAGCACTCGCAGCAACGTGATAGCGCAGATTCAGCATGCTACCGTAAACCAGTATTTTTCAGGTCATTTCCAAAGTGGTACATGAGCAAAATACCGATGTATCTTTTTCTAGCGAGAACAGTTTTGAATGAGATTTTTCAGTGAATAGAAGAAGGTTTACCAATCACTATCATGCAAGATTTATGATTGTGAGACTACTTTAAAGGTGAGTCAATGGAGTGTGGCACCCCCTTAAAAAGCTGTGGCAGCCACAGCTTTTGATGGAGGGTGCCACACCCCATTAACTTACTTCAAAGACATTTTTGACAGATTTTTCGTGTATGGCTCAAACAGTCCAGATCTCGTCCTCCAATAGTAGTAATTTGAGCCTGATTCGTCTTTTTGGCTTGCGTAATAGTTGTTGAAAGCGCAACGACTGAAATTGAAAAATGGGACAAGCAATATTTTGGTTGTCCTCTAATTTCATAGCTTCGCGATTATCTAAAGTGGGGTTTCTCACGCGGGGAAAGAAGGAGTATTGCCTTGTATTGAGTACAAAACGAGGTAGCTAACTCACATTCATAACAAAGTTTATTGTGTTTGGAAATTAGTAGTTCCTGCAGGCTTATTCACTGTTCGCGAACCTAGGAGTCTGCTGAAACTTGGTGCATAGGAGTAATCCGACCTGCTGATTACGGGCATTGTATATTAAGCGTGATAAGGTGTCTTGATTAGACATATGGTATGTACACGTGGCAGATCAGCACCTAAGAATTTGCTTCAATTTGGCAACTAGAGTTTTGTGACTTTTGTTCACAAATATCCTCATTGACTGTTACTGTTGGTATCCGTTTACTTGTACCAAAAAGAGATATTATTATTTTGTTCATTTGTGCAAACGCTGTTGTGTTGTGAATCCGGCTAAAGGTCCCTCTTCTTTAGGGACTAGTCGGATTCGCAACACAATAGCCTTTGCACAATTGTACAAAATAATAATATCCTTTAGCCGGATTCTTTCTCGATTAATGCATCCGCGCTCCTCTCACTCATTCAAATGACTCACCGTTTATCACTTCAACTTGATTACGACCCCTCCCCCCTATCGGGCCCTCCTATACGACCTCCCAGGTGTGGCGTGCCACACCCCACGCTTCACCCTGGTCAAGATCTCAGTGCATCTGGAAAGGGTAAGGAAAAGAAAAGCTTAGTGGATTTCCACATATCGGATGTCAAGGACGATGATATATTGATAGGCACCAATGCATTAGCAACTTTGAGAGTCGATATCATGCTTAGAACAGAGGACACGCAACAGGAAAGGTATGACAGCAAAAGGGAAGTGGTAACAAAGCGGGTGTATATTTCTCCACATAACTCAATACTTGTGCCGGCCGATGTGAAAGAGGTAGTGAACTAGAAGAAAGAGTTATGTGGCCGACCAGGGAGGGCCTACTCGCCGGGGTGTTCACAGTGAAGAATCAGGAACTGGACATTCTTGTCATGAACACTTTGGAGAAGCCAATGGTTTTGAAAGAAGGAGAGGAGCTAGGACAATGGAGCACAGAATATTGGAAAACTAAGTGGGGAGAAATGAATCCACTGATGATGAGCAGTGAGATACCACACCTGGATAGGGAGGAACGCTGTAACATCCTGTATGCACAGCTGAGGGAAGGTTCCAAGGTAAAGCAGCTGGAGAGGGACCTACAGTTGGTGGACGAATTCGAAAAGGCATTTGCTGTGTTCGATACTGAGTTGACGGGAACAGATAAAGCAGAGATGTCCATTGAAACTGGTTATGCTAAACCAATAAAGCTGAAAACTAGACCCGTGCCGCTGGGAATTCGCGAAAAGCTAAAGGAGCTTCTAGAAGATAGAATCAAAAGATTATAGAAAAAAGTAGTTTAGCCTGGGCACCCGACAGTGCTGGTGGAGAAGAAGGAAGATAGCCTGAGGCTATGTGTGGACTACCGGGAGTTGAACAAGCCAATCAAAAACTAAATTCATACCTGTTGCCTACGAGTGACGCGGTACTACAGAGCCTTGCAGGAAAAAGCTTTTCTCCACCCTGGATCTGTGTTTGGGTTATTGGCAGATAGTGTTGGCAAAAGAAGCAAGGGAGAAGTCGGCATTTACGACGACAGAGAGCCTGTTTCAGTTTAAGGTAACTCCTTTTGGTTTGAGTGCAAGCCCTGCGGTGTTCCAGCGCCTCATGGACTCAGTACTGCGGATGTACTGGAAGGCGAACTTTTCTGTTACAACGACGATATAATCATATGCACAGACACCTGGGAAAGGCATCTGGAGCTACTAAGTAATATATTTAAAGCTTGCAAGAAGCGGGACTGAAGTTGAAAGCAAAAAAATGCATTTTGTTGCAAGAAAAAGTGGCGTTTTTGAGGTCTATGTGAAGGACTGCACATAGACCCCAAAAAGGTAGAGGCAATCGAGAGTTATGCGGTACCGAAACGTTCCAAAGAGCTGACAACATTTCTCGGCAAGGCATCATACTACAGCAAATTCTGCCTTGGATTCTTGAAAGTTGTGAGGAGCTTATTTGCATTGTTCTCGGCCAAGACTGTGTGGAAATGAGAGGCAGAGCATAAAGAAGCATTTTCTAAGTTGAAGAAACTGGGGGAACGGAACATACCTACCCGAACGACTTGCCGCCATAACCACAGGAGCCATGAGATGTCAGCAGCGCTAATTAGCGCCTTATGCAAAACTGATCTCTACGCACAAAAAAGCCCCGTACTCATTCAACAGCGCATGAACCCTTATTGAAACTCCAGTATCGATATATGCCCGGTAAAGGTGAAAGGTGGCAACTAAGGGTTCTCTAAGATGCTATTTCCAAATAGCATCTCTGTTCAATTCGCCAAATCTGCATACTTTTTTTAATGTAACCCCTACAATAAATTTCATTGTGAATTTGGAAGAACTGGAAAAGAAACGAAAAAAATCTGCTTTGATTAGGGCAATTGGCTGAATCCAAAATCCGTCAGATTGTTATATTCCAACATTGATAGAAAAAAACATTAATGTTCTAAGACTGAAAATGACTCCGGACTGATCAGCTCTGCATACAGTGCCAGTTAGTGTTGCTGACAACTCATAATACCGAAGGTACAATGCGGCAAGCCTTTTGGAGAGGTAAGTTCTCTCACCCGAAGAAAATGATGGCCTCTGCGCCTGTGTTGATGCAACCGGATATTGAGAAAGCAAAGGAAGGATTCCGACCATTCTTAGTATGCACAAACGCACCCACGGTAGGGTTAGGAGCGATGCTGTCCCAAGAGGGAGACGACGGGTTAGTACAACCAGTCTACTTTGCCTCAAAAGGACTCAGCAAGGCAGAGAGACGATACCACTTCATTGGGTTGTTTCATACTGCCGAACTGACTGCAGCAGACTGCAGCTGACTGCACTGACCGCAGCAGACTGCAGCTGACCGCACTGACCGCAACGGCCGCACAATCGCTGCATCCTTTCGGAAAAGAGAAAACAGTTGTGAATACATCAAAACACCGCAATTTATGCCTAGAAAGTTTCTAGGTTCTAACTACTCAATTGAATTTTGGCGATTGTTTTTTTTAGTATGCTCATATTTGTTCTGATCTTTTATCATTGCATATACCTATTTTACTCGCGCTCGTGTTGTCTATTGGGGCATACATTGTTTTGAGATTGTTTGAGCTACAACTATTTATCCTCTCCACCGGCTCCGCGGCCCCGCGGTCAGTGCGATTAGTGCAGTCTGCTGCGGTCAGTGCGGCAATCTAAAATAACCCATTGACTGGAAGCTTTAGCCGTAGTTTTCGCGGTAAGACGCTTCCACATGTTTATATATGGGCTTCCCACCATAGTTCTGACAGATCACCAGCCTTTGACAGCGCTTTTAATAGAAGCAACGTATCTGCAAGAGTGTTATGATGGTTACTGGAAATGCAAAGGTACAATTTGGGGATAAAATATGTAAAAGGTAAGACAAACGCGGTAGTGGATGCTTTGAGTAGAGGTTCTATAGAGAGTGGAGTCTGGAAAACTCAGGAGGCAGGAGAAGCAGTAGAAAGGAGGATAGAAGCAGAACAGAAAAGTAGATGGTTCAAGCAGTTAGAAAAAGATGAAGTCTTTGGCCCAATTATTATTTTGTTGAAAAAAAAGAGAGTTGAATAAACTTGTGAACGTACCAGGATTACGGTATCCCAATCGAATAGCCGATTTTGAGACTAAAAACGGGGGACTCAAGGTGTAAAGGAAAAAGGAAATCTAGTTATGGTAGTGCCAAAAAGCGAGAGGTACGAAATATTTCACGAAGCGCATGCAGGAAGCTTTTCCGGACACTTTAGCGCGCATTAGCTGTGGAATCGGTTTAAGAAACAAGTGTTTTCGCCTAACATTTTGACGGACATGAGTAAATGGACTAAAGAATGTCAACAGCGCTTTGTACACGACCCTAAAACGACCACAGCTGAAGCCATTCGTCACGGAGAAGCCGTACAAAATTACTGGGGTGGATGTGCTGGAACTAGGGCTAAAGACGAGAGGAAACAAATATGCTGTCATAGTTATCGACCACTTCTCAAAGTATGCAGCAGCATACCCGGTTCCGAACAAAACGGCTGAAACGATAGCAAAGGTTTTATTCATAAGGTGGATAACAAAGGGATGTAAATGGCCTAAAACATTACTGTCCGACAAGGGCCGAGAATTTGAGAATAAGGTGATTGGCAATTGACAAAAATATTACATGACAATAATACAAAATTTAAGCACGTAACTACAAAGGGGTATAACCCACGGGAGAACGGAATAGCGGAAAGGTAGAACGGAACTATACTGGTTATGCTGTGAAAAGTCTGAAGGTGCCAGTGGAATCTGATGCAAGGTTACCATTTTTTATGATGGCTTATAATCTTACCCCGAATAGTGCGAAGGAGAAAGCCCATACTTTGTGTTACATGGCAGAGATCCTAATTTTCTGTCAGCAGTAATTCCAAGCGGAGGTATCTCTTGGTACTCTATGGTTGAAAACATGGATGACCACAAGGCGCAGTTGCCGCAAGCTGTGGTAGAGGCAGTGTGAATGGGTATGATATAATAATAGGACAAGGAGAGGAAACAGAACAATTTTATCCAAACATGTAGTTCAAGGTGTTCACTGTCCTTTAAACAGCTACTAAGCCTTACTTAGTAACCGTTTCAAATCCGCATTTATTCTTCCTCACAGAAGTTCTCCCCAAGCCACACAGAACTTTTCCTCATAGCCACATATTCAACATGATAAACCTTTTGGAATAGGTGGCTATTGTAATTTATTCCTGATAATCATTGCATGAGTTCCAACAAGAAAAGGATGCTTGGTTGAAATAGCGTTTTCATATGAAATGGTACTGTTTCATAGAGCATGGAACGCCGTTTCCAAATCTGTTTTGGATACCTGCAAACCTCTTCTGGGAGCAGAGATAGGTGAATTTGCAGTATAAATTTGAGGGCTTGGCTAAGGTAAGAACAGTGAGGTCTTTCTGACTGTAAGGAGTAATGATTAGCATGAGTTTACTAGACTGAAGAAATCAATTGCATAAAGCGCCCTGGCAGTAATCATGACCCCCAATCGAGCTCACAGACTACAGTTCGGAATGATTTTATTGTAGCCACGGGTCTAGATTTTTCTCTAAAAACCGTAACCCTCCAAGAAGCGCTTTGCAGACGTACTAAAGGCAGATTCGAAATTAGCGTATTATGCTCTATAAGATGATATATACAATACCGCTCACAGAATGTGCAAAAATCCGTGAATGTCGCAGAATTCCAGGAATTCCGCGAAGGTTCGCGAAATTTCGGAAATTTCGCGAAATTCATGTGAATCACGCAAATTACGCAGGGCCATAACTTCTTTCCGAATGAGTATGTTCGAAATCTAAAAACAGCATTGTATTCAGCTCGTCAAGGCGAATCTTTTGGTGTACAGGTTGTGTCCAATACATTGTTTTCAATAATCTTGAATTTGTACGCAGACGCCTTTTCGCGTGGATGTAACGCAACGAGCATCACACATAGGAGACTGCCGTAAGCACCGTTCGATAGCACTCTTTCACTAGATTGTCGTGCGCTAAACAGCAGCCGAAGACTCTCTTTCAAAAGAGATAGAAGAGCTGATAAACTCTGGAAAAATTAAGCTGTTCCAAGTTCTACTAGCCGTAACTTGCTTCGGAATGAACATTTTCTAAATCCGGAAGCAGCATTGTGCTCAACTCGAGTCGAATCTTACTGTGTACAGCATGCCCTTGAAATTCCGTTTCCAATTTTTTCAAAATTTTCTGCGCGCGTATATTCACAAGGTCGCAACGCAGCGCACATAAACATAAAAGACTCGAATAAGCACTGTTAGACTGTGCTGCTTTCGCAGATTATAGAGCGCTAAAAATCGACCGGAGAATCTTCTTGAAAAAAGATAGAAGAGCTGGTGAATTCTGGAAAAATCGCGTTGTCTCAAATTTTGCCCACCGTGATCCTAAAATGAGAAGCTCTACTGCTAAGCATATGTGATTTTCGTAATCAGCAGGTCAGATAACCTCTATGAGCAAGTTTTCAAAGAAATTCGGGTGATTTGATTTTTTCTCGTTCTACACCCTGAAGCTCGCCGATGGGTTTTGGTCAAAATGTCGATGATCTTGGATTGTAAGGGAACTTCGCTCAAAGAGGTTTTTGAATACGCTGTTTACGATAATCGTCTTTTGCACGGAGTACAGAGTTTTCTAGCAGAAATATGATGAGGGAAGTTTAGCTAAGCCACGCAAGTTCGTAGATTCGCCTGCATTTCGAGCACCTCTTAGAAAATCTGCTTGCTTGCCTTTGCAGGTTAAATTCACTAGAAAGCGTGCTATGCAAGGGTGCATGCATCCGGCTTCAATCTGTAGCAATCGCCGAGTTAGGGGCCTACGAAATCACGTCCTCATGTGTTTTGCCCAAAATGTAAAGATCGCCTGCTTCGTAGAAATTCCACCTAAGTGACTGTAACTCACTGTGGTCACCAATTTTGTGTTCAAAAATGGTGACCACAAAAAAATTGGAAACGGAATTTTAAGGGCATGCTGTACACAGTAAGATTCGACTTGACGAATTGAACACAATGCTGCTTCCGGATGTAGAAAATGTTCATTCCGAAGCAAGTTACGGCTAGTAGAACTTGGAACAGTTTGATTTTTCCAGAGTTTATCAGCTCTTCTATCTCTTTTGAAAGAGAGTCTTCGGCTGCTGTTTAGCGCACGATAATCTAGTGAAAGAGTGCTATCGAACGGTGCTTACGGCAGTCTCCTATGTGTGATGCTCGTTGCGTTACATCCACGCGAAAAGGCGTCTGCGTACAAATTCAAGATTATTGAAAACAATGTATTGGACACAACCTGTACACCAAAAGATTCGCCTTGACGAGCTGAATACAATGCTGTTTTTAGATTTCGAATATACTCATTCGGAAAGAAGTTATGGCCCTGCGTAATTTGCGTGATTCACATGAATTTCGCGAAATTTCCGAAATTTCGCGAACCTTCGCGGAATTCCTGGAATTCTGCGACATTCACGGATTTTTGCACATTCTGTGAGCGGTATTGTATATATCATCTTATAGAGCATGATACGCTAATTTCGAATCTGCATTTGGTACGTCTGCAAAGCGCTTCTTGGAGGGTTACGGTTTTTAGAGAAAAATCTAGACCCGTGGCTACAATAAAATCATTCCGAACTGTAGTCTGTGAGCTCGATTGGGGTCATGATTACTGCCAGGGCGCTTTATGCAATTGATTTCTTCATTCTAGTAAACCCATGCTAATCATTACTCCTTACAGTCAGAAAGACCTCACTGTTCTTACCTTAGCCAAGCCCTCAAATATATACTGCAAATTCCCCTATCTCTGCTCCCAGAAGAGGTTTGCAGGTATCCAAAACAGATTTGGAAACGGCGTTCCATGCTCTATGAAACAGTACCATTTCATATGAAAACGCTATTTCATTCAAGCATCCTTTTCTTGTTAGAACTCATGCAATGATTATCAGGAATAAATAAACAACCACCTATTCCAAAAGGTTTATCATGTTGAATATGTGGCTATGAGGAAAAGTTCTGTGTAGCTTCGGGGAGAACTTCTGTGAGGAAGAATAAATGCGGACTTGAAACGGTTACTAAGTAAGGCTTAGTAGCCGTTTAAAGGACAGTGAACACCTTGAACTACATTTTTGGGTGAGATTGTTGTTTCCTAGGTGGAAACTGACCAAGCGACAAATAATTCAGTCATCCTTACCACTTGCTACGCATATAACTATCAGCTACGAATCTAGACCAAATATAGCGGTTTATTTTTTTTTGCAGAAAACTGCAACAAAGATAAGACCAGCAGTGTTTGAGCCACTAGATTATTTAAATTATTTGAAGTTGAATATTTGGACAGGTACAACTAAATAATTCGAATATTCGAATAGTCGAATATTCGACCAACCCCCATTTATTCGAATATTTATTCATTCGAATTTTAAAATGTAGCATTGTTCGAATTTTCGAATTTGAATAATCTAAAAATCACGGATCGATTGTTCGTTCGTTAAAATATCTTCCAAAAGTCGTTGTTCGATATTCGTTCGTTTGACGAAATTTTTCGGCCGTTTCAGCTATAGCACAGACTAGCTGTCCTCGGTCTAAAAAAATTTGTGGAAAATATCTCTATTCCTAAAACCAAGTAGTGGGCGCAAACAAGCAGTGCGAAACATCTTTTCTATTCGAATTTTTCGCCTACTCAACTGTTTTTCTGTTAAGACTTTTTGTTCATATTACAGCCAAACACAAAAAACCTCACTATTCAACGTGTTCACATGATGACGCAACATATGGCACCATTAATTTGGTTTCTCTGATATTCAGCTTTCACTGTAGCGTAAGCGCCCATATGACTAAATGTATCTGTCCGTTAAATTACTATACAGGTATGCCTGTTCGAAAAGCCGGCGCACCTGTTTTTTGAGTTCCAAGCATGCCTTCTGGTGCCTGAACACACCGATGCACTTGGCCGACTGGTGTATTAATTTCTATCGCCTATTTTAGTCGTAAGGTTACAAGATCTTCAGTGTTAGCTATTTTCAAGAAAAACCGTTTCTTGAGCGCTATCTTTATAGAAGTTGCTATCTATTTGTACCTGGCGGACGAAGTGTCATGTGTTAAAACGTTGCATATTGCCGAACCTTGTCGAATCGAGTTTGTTGGAAAGAAACTCTTCTTACTTTTGACTGTTAGCGCACTTTGCGTGCATGAAATAAATGAATTAACGAGTCTTCTTGCACTTTTACCACTTGTTAATTTTTTGACGTTGCATATTGCCAACCTTGTCGAACCGAGAATTAAAGCAAGTTAAAGGATTATTGACAATTTTTAGAAAGGTATAAAGTTGATAAGTATTTCGAAGAAAAAATCTAGCAGACATGTTGCGCTTGAGCAAGCATAACAAGGGCATGAGGAGCGCTGAAGCATTGCCAATGTGTCTGCAGAGAATGGTAATGACGTTGAGAATGGTTGTGAAATCAGTAAACGTTGTGAACAACTTTTTGATAGTAAGAGATCAAAGTCAGCTTGCAAACGTTTCGATTGATGGTGTAGTACTCTTCTATTCATACACACGCGTTTTCTATACCTTTCAAAAGCTTTTGTCATCGCACGCTTAATTTGAGAGACCGCTGCAAAAAAATGAATTGCGCTATAGTGACATACGTTTTTGCATTTCGTACTTTTCGGATCAACGTAAGGTGTTGTTTACAAGTTAGTGCCCCCAAAAGGGACTTGAAGTGTATATCATATACGGTAGGACCGCAAACCTAGAATACTGGTTAAAAATGTGCTTGTGATATTTTTGGATGGTATCTTGAAACGAGTTGCCTGTTTTTGAAGCTGGAAATGAGCCCCTGGCGCTCAAAGAAAACACATTTAATTAACATCAATGGCATGTGGATTTGTGTTGCCACCTGACCAGCTTTTCCGTGAACAAACTTTTCCCACTCTTGCTTATCATTGAGGCAAAAAAGAATGTCGCTTGTAGGACTTGAAACAACAGTTCAGCTTGGATACACATACAAAGCTTGCGAATCAATCGTGAAAGAACGTTTATTGAGTCAAGAGTGACACTTTGTAAAGATGAATTTCAGTTGTCATCTATGGCGAGGGTTGCTTAACACAACAAAATTTTTTAGAGAAAACTTCCTAAGCCGTTCGAGGTTTTTTCTTGTAAGGAAATTGAAGAATTAAAAATGATTGGGATGGAAGGCAAAATCTTATCTTATCTTATCTTTTATTCATTCTCAAGGTTTACATTTTCATGCAAAAGACCGTGATGATATTATGTAAGGCTTCATTATGTCAGTAGTGGGACCGCATATGTAATACCAAGTGTTCTCCATACAGCACATTCCATTCTTAGCTCCTGCCAATTACAATTAGGCTTATAAATCTTGCAATGCTTACGGATGTCGTCTTCCCATCGCGTTCTAGGTTTTCCATCACTGAAGCGTCTGCCAGTAGGTGGAATCCAACGTGTAAGATGGAAGGCAAAATGGCGACAAAGTGTATTCCTCTTGACGAGAAGGCGCATTTTCGGCTTCGCAAATGGATATCAACTTGTATCAAGCCTGCTTGGCAGGTTTTGAAGCACATTTGGAACTACTAATAAAAACTGCCTAAATTTTATGACAGTTTCATTTAATGGCACACAAACTAGCTTATATTGAAATCTAGAAAAGTGCATCCTCCCTTTGTAAACCCACATTAGAAGTATCTAACAATAAGAGAGATGATTGAAGCAGTCCACAGTTTTGATTAGAAGGCTCACAGTTTGAGAATCTATTACGTAGGGTACCCAAAGATATGTGAAAAATTGGTCCAATAACTCCTTGTCATGGATTTTTTCGGGAAGCTTTAGGAGTTTTTCAGGAAGCTTACTCGAACCTCACATGTTAGATCGAAAGGCAGCAAGTTGATAGTGTCTTGGGAAGAATCATTCTGGAAATGCGCTATGCGATTCATGACACGCAAAAAATCACTGCTTCAATCATCTCTCTTATTGTTTAATACTTCTAATGTGGGTTTACAACGTGAGGATGCACTTTTCTAGATTTCAATATAAGCTAGTTCAAGTTTTTGGAAAGCTGGCTTCCGCTCACATTTACTCTATGGAGCAAATCAGTGATTTGCTCTTCATTAATGTAGGATTACGATGGGAGTCTCAAACCATGGAAGACCATATTTTGCTCCGAAAGGAAGCAAAAGTCCTGAAATTTTTCACACTAGGCTAATTGGCCGATTCTAAATATAAACCTTAACTTGCACCTTACAATAACGCTTCTTTGAAAGATTATGCCAGGTGGGCAGTGCAGCCTTTTTTCGATACCCTAAAAATACTCTTACACCGTTTCAAAGCTTCAAAGCATTAAGTTCAGCGCCCATCAAAACACTACTACACAAGATTTGATTCTCGCGAAATTGTTCAAACGGGCAATTTGTTTATAGACGTCTTACGCTGTAATTATCATAACTTATAATAACGGGCTAAGGGTTGTTTACGTTTTTTTGTCTGTGTGTGTCTGTCTGTCCGTTACGAAATTCGTAGGGAGAGTTCCAGCCAACCTCTTGAGCCCAAATTTTGCATAGCACATCGTAGCAGCAGAAAAGTCCATTGTGCAAAAGCACAAGCAGGTCCGATAAGTGGATCCCCTAGAAATTGCGCATGAAACGGGTCCATTTAACTTCTGACCAGCAAATTGGGTCCGGATATAAACATTTTGCAAAGTCGTGGATATGTTTGACAAGCTTACGGACTTTAGCCCAAAAATTCAACTAAAGTTGGTTACTTTACGAAGATGGCGCCAAAAATAATTAGTTGCGTGAATGTTCAATTTCCCAAGATTTTACGTGATCATTTGAGAAGATTTTTGCACAGAGATGTAGCCCACGATGATCATAGTCGTTATGGCACTACCAATCCATAAAAAGTCCACAAACTTATTCAAATTTGCGTTTATTCTTTTGAGAAAAGTTTCATCCACATGAAAATACCGATCTCAGACAAAAAAGCTCTGGGAATGATTAGCTGTTTACAAATCATTCGTGATAGCCTGCATAACGCGGTGAGTTTCAATGCTACTATTATGCGGGAATGAGTAAGGCATACAGAAAGTAGGGCCAGTGCGAGCCTCTGCGAAGCAGAGGTGACGCACTGGTAAGTTATAAATTACAAGTTGACCAAATTACAGGTTGAAAAAGCATTTTTATTCTAGTTTTCAATAGCGCAGTTGTAACTCCTGAGATTGTTATTCCCAAATGCACAGGTTGTCCCAAAAAAATAAATGAACATGTGGTCGTTTATAGGCCCTTATCATAAATCCTTCACGAGTCACTGATTACTTTCATTACTGTAGGATTACGGTAAAAACTTTTAGCACAAGCGTAAAAGATCGCGAACATAGCAAGCTTTCTCTAAAAAATCTTTGTTGCGTTAAGGAACGCTCGCCATAGATGACAATTGAAATTCATCTTTACAAAGTGAAACATTTGACTTTGAATGTTCTTTTCACGATTGATTCGCAAGCTTTGTATGTATTTCTAAGCTGAACTGTTGTTTCAAGTCCTACAAGTAACATTTTTTTCTTGCCTCAATGATAAGCAAGAGTGGGAAAAGTTTGTTTACTGAAAAGCTAGTTCGGCGGCAACACCAATCCACACGCCATTGATATTAATTGAATGTGTTTTCTTCGAGCGCCAGGGGCTCATTTCCAGCTTCAAAACAGGCAACTCGTTTCAAGATACCATCCACCAATATCACAAGCACATTTTTAACCAGTATTCTAAGTTTGCGGTCCTACCGTATACGATATACACTTCAAGTCCCTTTTGGGGGCACTAACTTGTAAACAACACCTTACGTTGATCCGTAAAGTACGAAATGCAAAAAGATATGTAACTGTAGCGCAATTCAATTTTTGCAGCGGTCTCTCAAATTAAGCCTGCGATGACAAAAGCTTTTGAAACGTATAGAAAACGCTTGTGTATGAATAGAAGAGTACTACACAATCAATCGAAACGTTTTGTAAGCTGACTTTGACCTCTTACTATCAAAGAGTTGTTCACACCGTTTACTGATTTCACAACCATTTTCAGCGTCATTACCTCTATTCTCTGCAGGCACACTGGCAATGCTTCAGCGCTCCTCATGCCCTTGTTATGCTTGCCCAAGCTCAACATATCTGCTAGATTTTTTTGAACTTATCAACTTTATACCTTTTCTAAAAATTGTCAATAATCCTTTAATTTGCTTCAATGCCCCTCATAAATTAACAAGTGGTAAAAGTGGAAGAAAAAGACTCATTAATTCAATTACTTTATGCACGCAAAATGCGTGCGCTAACATAGTCTTCAAGAGTAAGAAGAGTTTCTTTCTCAGCAAACTCGATTCACAAGGTTGGCAATATGCAACGTTTTAATACATGACACTACGCCCGCATTTGTTTTGATTATCAGTACTTCGTCGAATAATCCGTATTGTAAGACAATTTGTAGCAATGGGATAAGCTAGAAATGTAGAAATGCATTGGAAAGTCTTATTTTATCTTAATAGGAACAGTAACAAATGATATGAAATGTATGGCAGGAATGCACCACATTAATTATCAAAAATTCTCATCACAATCATACTGTCTGATCTCACCTAGGACAATGCGTGGGCCTCGCCTGTCCGAGCTTGAGATTAATTAATACCACACCAGCATGACTCTTTGCAAAGACTACTCTAAGCGAAAAAAAAACTTATAGAACAATAACCTTTGGCTATACTGCACACATTTTTGCATAGTGTAGCCATTATCAGTCAGAAATTCTAACCTGTTGTTCAAAATAATGGCCCGTAGTATTCCTGTTCAGAGCAGCTCGGCTGGGGAGCAGGCCTTCGTTGAACCTGGGAGCCAGTGGCGTACCTAGGGTTTCGGCTCGGGGGGGGGGCGACAAAAAATTTTTTCTAATGAAGGTGCGTGGCGTCAGCCACGCACTCCGAAAATTTTTTTGGGATGTTTCCCAAAATTTTTCCGGGCCCTTGACCCCAAAATTTCAGAAAAAGGGGACGTGGCGGCCACGCCCTCAAAAAAATTTTTTTCATAAGGCTAATTTGATTTTTTAAAAATTTTTAA